AAAAAAAAAATCTTAGTAAATGCTGAAGACAAAAAAATAAAAATAAAAATCACATTTCCACTTCATAATAAACGACCAACTGGTTTTCCTTTTTTGATCATCAACATTTTATACTTGAATTTAAACTGTGCATATCAGCAGGCCATTTTCCTTTCAACAAACATTTTAGACAAATCTGCCCCCATAGATTTTGGTCTATGAGACGAAGTGACTTCAGAGCCACAGGCGCGATTTTGCCGGCTAAAACAACACACGAGAGCAAGGTTGATTTACTGAAAAATGATCTGCAGGAACGACAACTGTGTCGGGCTATCCGTACCAAAGTGTGCAGAGTCATTTACATCTACTGCCTTTGAAAAGTAATCTGACAGCACTTTACACATGTGTTGTGTGCGTGTGTAAACTATTTATGTCTTGAGCATGCATTCATTCATTCATTCACCTGCTTTCTATCTTTGCCTTCAGCTCACTCTCTCGAACTCCATGAGGATGAAGACTGTCCACCAACTCTTCCAGTTCAGCAGGACTGTCGCATATAAACCTGGCAAAATTTGTTGATTAGAAAGCAGATATGATCGTAATAACACTCTACAAATTCTCAAACCAAAAGGCAAAGAGAAAGATGAATATAAAACACGAACCAGAGATTCTGTCCCTGCTTAGGAATTGTAGTTTCTATACAGACGTCTGTTGGTGCCCCCAGCTGGGCTTCGTCATTTTTCGTGCCATCGATACTTCCGCTATCATCAGCCTCTACAAAGACATTTTGATCAAAATAAGTTTCATAACATCACTATTTTGCTGATTTTCCGTGGAAAAATAACATGACTAGTCATACATTACTTGCACGTGCTTATGGACATAAATATATTTTCTTCCTTGTGTGACAGCAGCCTCACCATCGTCTTCATCGTCCACATCAGGCTCAGGAGGAGGTGTGAAGCTATAGTCTATGCTGTCATGCACCCAGCCTTTCTCAATGTACAATCCAGGAACCACGTCGGAGAAAAACCAATATCTGGACAAATGGCCATCAATTAATATTGTTTTTTTATAGTTAATTGACTCACCATTATTTAATGGTTAAAATAATTTCACTGACCTGTTATGATTTCTGTCTGTACCCAGCGGAGTTCTACGCAGGACCAGTTTGGCCTTTTTAATACCCTCCTGAAAGTTCTTTTCTGCGGTCGCTCTTTGTCTGCGTAGTCTCTCTTCTTCGGCCGCCTCTTCCATGCGTTCTTGGGGATGATAATTTGGAAACAAATGAGTCCCCAAATCCAATCGCAACTGACAACTTGACTGATTTGAAAAGTATCATGGGAAACAAGGTTCACCTTTGTTCTGTTTGTCCATCTCCTCTCTTTCTCTCTTGGCCTGCAAGCTCATCAGCTGCCTGCTCTTGACTGAGCTGATCATGTCCACCAGCTCGACTTTGACTTCTTTCTTGAACTCCTTCTTTGGATCATCCTTTTTTTTCTTCTCATCTTGAGCCATGAAAAAAAAA